CTGTTCATTAGGGTATTCTTCAACTACATGTCTTGCTTTCCTCACAAGATACAAACTACTCTGATTTCTCCAAAGATAGTGAAACTAGTGTATTTGAAAAGACTTTTTATTCCTAGCACTCTGGGAGGCTGAGACAGGTGAAGTGCTTGAGCTCAGGAATTTAAGACCAGACTGAGCTAGAGCAAGACTCTTAAAAAAAATAGCCAGGTGTTGGGTGGGAACCTGTAGTCCCAGCAACTCAGGAAACTTGAGGCAAGAGAATCACTTGAGCCCAAGAGTTTGAGATTACTGTGAGTTATGATGCCACAGCACTCTACCCAGGGCACCAGAGTCTCTCTTTGTTACCCTCAGTGAAGTGCTGTTGGCGTCTTAGTTCACAGTAACCTCAAACTCTTGGGCTTAAGTGATTCTCTTGCCTCAGTCTCCTGAGTAGCTGGGACTACAGGCACCCACCACAATGCCCAGCTATTTTTAGAGATGGGGTCTTGCTCAGGCTAGTCTTGAACCTGTGAACCCAGGCAATCAACACGCCTTGCCCTCTCAAAGTGCTAGGATTACAGGTGTGGGTCACCATGCCCAGCCTAGAAAAACAACTTTTTATGTTATTCAATTAAATATTATCCCCGACCTTCTTGGAACCTTTTAGTTAATTTCAGGACCCACGTTGCCTCTCACTTAAAGATTTTAAAGTTAGATTTTTAAGGTCTTAATACTATAGAAAGGAATGAAAGAGGAACACTTGGAGAATGATTTATGAAAATTATTCCTATAAAAATTGAAGGAAACTTACACAAAACAAACTTTTTGGCTTTTTATTTTATTTTTGCTTTTTTGCCCAAGTCCCTATCGTAACCCCAGAAGGATTTCACGTACCTAACTTCGCTTCCAGCTTTTACTTTCGTCATTATAAACTTTTGTTTTTCTGCCCCTGGAGGCTTTTTGTAAACACTTTTCCATTTTGCCGTGTACTTGTTTTTAGTGTTTGTGTAACACACTCCATCAAATTGATATTTCAGAATTTATTACCCATTCCTTTAATGCTAGACATTAAGGTTATTTCCATTTTTCTCTCTATTATAAATAATGGGAGCAAGAATATCTTTATATATATAGCCTTTCCCCTGTGTTTGAGTTATATCCTCGGGATAAATTCCCAGGAGTGGGATTAGTGGGTCAAAGGGTACGAACAGCTTTATGGCTCTTGATATTTATTGCTGAATTGCCTAAAGGGTCATTCTAATTTACAGCGCCACCTGCGACACCCGAGAGTAGCTGCCCCCTCCAGCCCTGCCAACACTGTTTCTTTAGTCACTGGTTTTAGGCGAATTTAATAGGTATTCAAGGGTAACTCATTACTGTTTTTAATTGGTAATTTCTTTAATTATTATCAACACTGGACATTTTTTCTTCAGGGCGTTTCTATTCTATGTTGTACGGTTCGCTTTTTATGCCAGAAGATTACATTTTTTGACACCATGTGGAATTTAAAGTATTTTAGCCTAAAAATGCCAAACGCAGGAAGAACAGGGGAGTAATTGATGGAGCTCCCTACATGACCCAGGTTTAACAAAAGCAAGTTTGGTCTGTATTTGCTTTATCTGCCCCTTTTGTTCCTCATCCCCCCACCCCTTTGTGTAGTATTTTAAAGCAAATCCTAGACATTCTGTGTAACATTTCCTTCTATAAGAAAATGCATGGATTTTTCTTTATGTAGTCATAATGTCTCGGTCATTCCTAGCAAAATTAATGACAATTCCTTGGTATCATTTAATCCCAATCTGCAATATGCTTTTTCAAAGTGTCTTTTGTGCCGATGCTTTGTTCCAATCAGCATACATTAGGTTTACATTTAGTTATGTAAACTTAATCTAGAGCATGCTTCCCCATCTCCAACTTTTGCCCCTACTCAGTGACTTTCTGTAGGAGCTGAGCCAGTTGCCCTATAAAAATCCCTACATTCTGGATTTGACCTTCTATTTTCTTCCTAGCTCTAGAAGCTTGATGAGGTTAAGTTTCAGCTTTTGAGTGAAGGCAGGGTTATTTCATGGATGGTGCTATACGCTTTATTTTATACCACTTCTGGTACATATAGTATCTGCTTGTCCCACTTTGGGTGATGCCACGGCTGATAATAGATTCTGGTGATGACAGTCCAAAATACAGTTGGGAAGTTCTTCATTAGAGTTTATCATCACTGTTAAATCTACAGACGATGGTTACTTGAAACAATTATTTCATGGAGATCACAAAGTTGTGATTTTTCTATTTATATCATTCTTTCCCCATTGATTAACTAGAACTTTTCCTCATAAACTAGGGCTTTTAAATCAGAAAATGAAATTTGAAGAAGTAAGGCAAAATAAATCTTTGTCTTTTTCTATAAATTGCCAAGTTTCCAAGTAAGAAATTGGTTCTTTGTCATTGATTTTAGAGTAGTCGGGACTATAGGTACCTGCCAGAACACCCAGCTAATTTTTCTATTTTTTGTAGGGATGGGGTCTCACTCTTGCTTTGGCTAGTCTCAAACTCCTAAGCTCAAGGGATCCTTCTGGCTCAGCCTTCCAGAGTGCTAGGATTATAGGCACAAGCCTCCACACTCAGCTCTTTGTCACTTTTGATGGTGTCCAATTATAAAATATTCATGTTCTTGGCTTGGAGCCCATAGCACAGTGGGTATGGTGCCAGCCACATACACCGAAGGTGGCAGGTTCAAACCTGGCCCAGGCCAGCTAAACAACAATGACAGCTGCAACAAAAAATTAGCCAGGCATTGTGGCGGGTGCCTGTAGTTCCAGCTACTTGGGAGGCTGAGGCA